AGATGGTGTTCCCGGTAAGTGGTGGAAGGGACCTTTTCCCCTGAAGGTGGAATCCAAACTGGGCCTTCAAAGATGAGCAGAACTGAGCTGTCCCATGAGAAGGCGGGTGGTAACCTTCTAAGGGGTGAACTAGGATATATTTATGAGGGAAATTTAAGAGTTGGAAGAAAGGGTTTGGGAAATAGGAGAGGGTTAGTAGGGTGGCACCTGGCTCCCCAAGGCCTTGAGCACCCAGCAGCTGAGTGAGGGCCCAACAGGACCACCATAAAGCAGAACCCCCTGGGGCTGGGGTTGTGGTCACATTGATAAGTCTGGCAAAGACTTCAGTTTCCTTAGGATGACCGTTCTGCTCATATGCTTCCAGTGGCTCTGTCCTCAGGTCCAGGCACAGGTAAGCATGTAAGAGTCATAAGGAGTGTTCCAGTGATACACTTAGTTACTTTCTTGTTGCAGGAACAAAATGCCTGACACCTACAAGTTAAAGGAGGAAAGGTTTATTTTAGCACACAGTTTGTAGAGGTTTCAGTCCATAGAGGCTGGCTACAAAGCAAGGTGGCATGGCAGAGGAGAAACAGTCCATGGCAAGGCAGGCAAAAAGCAGCAAGTGCAGCAGCAAGCTTCCCTTTCCCTTTGTATCCCATCCAGGCTATACGTCAGTTGGTTGGTGCCACCCACACCTGGGGCAGGGCTTCTATTTTCAGTAAATGCATTCAGCCACACCCAGAACCTTGCTAAAACAATTAATGGACTAATCCAATACCTACAAACCCTTAATCCCAGTATCACACACCCATGATCCAGCCACCTCCCCAAGTCCTTACTTATGAATGCGTGAGGCTTTGGGGGGACATCTAGATACAAGCCCTTTCTCCTCTTCCTGCATCAGTGTTCCTTTACCTGCTCTCTTTCATTTGATTTTGGCAATTCTGTGAGACAAAGGAATCAGATATTTTTGCCCCTGTTTTTTTTTTTTTTTTCCGGGACTGGGAATCGAATTCACAACCTCATGCTTGCCAGGTAGGTGCTGTGCTGCTGAGCTAAATCCCCAGGCCCTTTTTTGCCCCTGTTTTACAACACGAGAAGGTTAGAGGACTTGCACAAGGTCAACAGGATCTCAGGCCTAGTTCAGATTCTCTGGCTTATGCCAAAGGGCTCTGACTTAAATATGATCTGAGGTTACCAGGTGGTACCTCTCTATACCTTAGGGTAGAAAGTTGCATTCTTCACCTGAGCTTCTCCTACTGACCTGAAGAAATAGTAGGAGTTCTCACTGAGAAAAGGCTGGGAGCCCATGGCCCCCTTCATTAAAATAAATTCTGCCTGCCTCTCCTGATTCTAAATAGAAGGAAATGTAGATTTGGAGCAGAACCGAAGGGAAAGGGATTTCCCTTGGCAAATTATTTGCAATTTGTGGATTGCAGCTGACCCAGCTCCAATTCCCTCTGTCATTGTAAAATGTGACCAGCTTATTAAAGAAGGCGAGCTGGAGGCAGGCGTCCCACAGGGCCTCAATGAAACAGGAGCAGAGCTAAAACCCACCGGCTTCCCCTCCTAGTGCCTCAGGCTGCTGCTTCCTGCTCTGCAGGAGCAAGAGTGAGCCTGTTCACGATTGTTTGTGTCTTTCCTTGGGCATTATGAAAACCTAGTTGTCTTAAGGACTTAAATTCACAGTCCTCAGATCACTAATGTGCAACAGAATGCTTGTCCTTGTCATTGCCAGAGTTAATGCGGGGTCCAGTTCTCTCTTTCGTTATATTTTTGTTGGTGTCAGCGACGACTCCAGGCCTCATGCACACTAGGTTAGAGCTCTACCACTGAGCCCCATTCCCAGCTCAGGATCTGTCTTTAGAGATACCAGGTGATTCTGAAGCAGGTGGGCCAGGGACCACTGTCAGAGAAACTGATGTCCATGGGACTCTGGTGTATAAACTCCAAGTGGCCGCCCTCTGTGGTTTAAAGGTGCTGTTCTTGTGACATAAGTCCTGGGAGCTCTGATGTTTACCAAGAAGGTCCACTGCTCATTGTATAACTTGAGGGCCATTCAGAAGGCTTGTTTGACTTTGGAGGGCTTCAAGAGCTGCCAGTCTAGAGTTTCAAGGATTTACCTTCTCTAATACTCTTTTTAAACCATGGGCAGCTTATACAAAAGAGTACTTTCTATATTATTATCATTAGTGAAGAAAAAAGTCTCCGATTGCACACCCACAGTGGGCTTCTAGAATTGTCTGCATGGTCCAGTCTGCCAGAGCCCTGGTCTCTCCCTGCCCCACCTTTCTTTGTCCCCAGAAGGCTATACCTGGGAGTGAGAGACACAGGGAGAAAGATTTGTAAAGTCTCAGGTGAGTTTTCCTTTCTGTGGGACCTAAAGCAAATCAATGGATTCCTATTTCCCCATCCATCTGAGTCAGCCAGGGAACGCATGGGTAAGGTGGTCCCCTGGGCGTTCACAATGAAATTGACTCCATATGAAATGAATCTGAAAATTCCATTTATTAAAACAAATACATTGTCCATGTGGGATGAAAATGTGCACATCACATTCAGGTTTTCCTGCTTTAACATTTCTGCATTTCCCTCTCTGTAGAAGACACGTTCTAGATCTTATATAAGAGAAATGTGAAGAATCCTTGGGCTGAGAAACAGTAATGTATATGTAACAATTCATCATTGCCAGGAGCAGCTAGAAGCAAATATTAAGAAAGAAAGAAAAGTTTAAAAATCCCCTAACAGCGAGCTTGCTTTTCTCAGCATTCCTTATGTGAGCATGAGTGTATGGATAAATGGTTTTTATTGTTTCATTTTTCCTTGGCAGGCAGTCTCTTCCAAATATTACTAGCAAAATCAGACTGAGAACAAAATTCTTATTTTAAGCCTTCTGATTTAAGTAATACTTGATCCCAAATAAAAAATAACATTTTAAACTGGAGCTAGTATTGAGACTGATACAAATGTTTTTTCTTTATACAATTTGCATTCTAAATATGTTTATTGTTTTTACTGACTAACTCCATGGCTGGTTCTCATTATTATTATAATTCTATATTTTATACAGGCATGTAGAAATTAGGGCTTTAACTAATTAAATTGAATTTTCCTGGGTTTTTTTTTGGTCACCGGGAATCGAACTCGGGACCTTGAGCTTGCCAGGCAGGCACTTGTGCCGCGGAGCTATATCCCCAGTCCTAAACTGAATTTTCCTAATAGCCACCCTTAAGATAAAATTATGCTGGTGAAAATTATTGTTGAATTTCTAAAGAAATTAAGCTCTTTTGATCCTAAACAATAAAATACAAACTTTTCTGCTTTAATAAACACTAATATCAATAAGGTAGAACTAATGTAAGGATTCTGGTGTTATAACGCCGTAGTGTAACACATGAAGTGATACAAAAGCCAAAACATTTTCCCTAACTTTTTATGGGCTGTGTAACTTTTGCCCTTTCCCCCTTTTGTAAGCATGGTCACATTTGGAACTTCATTAACTTGTAATTGCCAAACTAGGATTGAGATGCTTCCTAAAATTTTTAGTTCCATTTAAATTGCTCCAAAAAAATCTCAGTTTATGTGGAAATACAACTAGTCCTTTTGAGAAGAGGAAATAATGTGGATGTGGAAACTCTGGGCCTGCTAATGGACCTTATGTAGTCACCACAGCTTAGTGACCACATATTCAGTTTATGTTTTAGCTTGCTTTAAAAATGCACCTTTAGCTGATTCCACAGCATTTCAAAGCTAACTGTATAAAACTGGGGTGCAACAAATACTCTGCCAGATTTTTTTCACCCCCTAAGGATTGTCATCAGCATCCTGCTGGAACAAAATCCCGAGGTTTGTTCAGTACAGAAGTTTTCTGTGACAGAAATGCATCCATACATTTCAGAAATGCTTCCGCATTTACGCTTTACTCCCACCCCGCACATGCGCCTGAACGGGGCAAATTTACGCTTTCATCAGCGCTCCCATGAAGAAGCTAAGGAAAATATTTAGCAAGTCTGTTTCAAAATCTGTCCTTGGCAGAGTAAATCTTTTTTATCTTTTCTTTTCCTCCCTTTTAGTATTTCTTTTTTTTAATAGGAGGAAGAAAATGGTGAGGAAAGAGAGGAGGATAAAGTTAATTTGAAGTTAATGATCTTTGGGGGTTTGAAAGGAAACAGGATGTGAGAGAGGCCCTCTGAGGAGAAGGGACACAGGAAAAGAGTGACAAATGCTTGTTCAGGGCCTGCCATTTCTGAGCCACTCCAGCTGCAAGGCATGGAAGAATTGCTCTCAACCTCTCATGCTGGGAAGGGAGCACTCTGGATTCGAGGAAGTTGTAAATAAAGACCGAGAGACTCCCACAAGGTAGAGAAGAATAACAAAGATTACTTTGAAGAATTGAGAAATGAAAAATGCAGACCCTGTCAGAGCCAAGCAGACCCCCTTCCGGTGGAGCCGGATGTGGGGGCTGCGCCTGCTACCCAGAGTGGGCTGCGCCTGCTACCCAGAGTGGGCTGGGCCCTGCTCCTCAGTGGGGAAATAGGCAGCCTTCTGCGCCTGGGCCACCTTTTCCAAGCCTTGGGTTTGTTTTTTCTGATACTTGAACAAAAGGGATCCTGGGGTTCTTGTTACCAGCACAGAAAGCATTCATTTCGGCCTAGAATTTCTGTGATTTGGGGAAAGTGGAACTTGCTCACATTCTATAGCAAAGCACTTTTCAGCTCATGGTCAATCTTTAACTTGGGGGTGTTTGTGCTGCCCTGGATCCTGGATAAACCAAAATGCTTTGGATTCTGGAAAATAGAGAAGAGGCGCTTATACCACGGTTCATTAGGAGGTATTTTAGGCATGGCTAAGGCTCTGAAGTCATCTCAATTTTCACACTACTGAGGTTTTTCCTCCCCAGTATCTTTCTCTTTTTCTCATTTCTTTTCCTACTTTTATAGTAAAACAACAAAACTTCTGAATGGATGTAACATAGGGACATTTTCATGCATTATTACTCAAAAATCGTCACAAAGATATGGAAGCACCAGTCACAACACATGATTTACTTGCAGAATCAAAGCTATTGTGTACAAATATTAGGAATAGTGATAAGAAAGCACAGACAACTGGCGATTGTTTTGAGTTATTACCGTGAGGAACATCTCCTTAAGCATTCTGGGTGCCCGTCCTGGGAGTTCAGTCCTACACAGAAGTCCAGCCTTATCTCCAAACTACTCTAATGGGGAGGGGCAGGGGGGAGGGGAAAGGAAGAAAGAAAAAGAAAGGCACAAGGACTAAACATCGATTTCATGAAACCAAACCGCAGCTACACTGGACGACTCAGCTTATCAAAGGGTATCTAAACACAATATTCATTCCGAGAAGGTCATACATATCTTAGCTCAGTACAGCTGTCTGTTTTAATGTTTATTTTTTAAATATGAAGCAGAAATGTAAGGTCTTGGAGGGGCGGGGAGGGGAATAGCAGAAAAGAAGTGACACCAATTTTATTTTCATACATCCCCCTCCTCCAGGCAGCTCTGCAGAATCAGATCTCTTAAGTCAGGATGTGGCTTGGCTTTCATTCTCATAAAAGGGACCAGTTCTTTAAACATGCACAGCCTGGAGTTTCGCGATGGTTCTCCTCCCTCTCTTTAAATGCCGTGGACGAGGAAGGCGCCCACTTTGCTAGAAACTCTACGGCAAAGTCCCGGGAGCCCGGAGGCTCTGCAGCCTCCTCCTGGAGACTTAAAGGATGGCGCAGAAGAACTTCTTCTCCCGAAATGGGTTTTCTGAGGCCGGGACAGGGGTCAGCAGGGGGTCCTCCTTGGCATGCGCCTCACAGTAGGCCATCAAGTCTGCAGCTGCCTTGGAGACCTGAAAAGGAGGAACAGAAACAACCGGAACGTGGGCAGGCATGGACTCAGGAGTCTGGAACAGTTAGGCAAGGCCCAAGCTTTGGAGTTCAGTAGCCTACATCTCCTCCTTGTTGCATAACTGTATGAGAGGACACAACCTCCGAACACTGTCTTTCCTCACTGCAGGGAAGGAAGCCAATGATGTTGACTTCACAGAATGCTGCCTGCAGGTCCAGGATGAGGGTAGGGCGAGGGAGACGCTCAGGACCAAAGTCCAAGAAGGCACTTGTGGTCAGGGACATGGAAATGTCAGCTGGTCTTGGACAGCCCTGAGAATGGGATCTCCTCAGGTTTGGACCCCGGATACATTGCTTGCCCTGCCCTAGTCCCAGCCTTGGTTGCAATGGTGAAATAAATGACATATAACTCCTGCAAATCATTTAGAGCGTGGCATAGAGAAAACTGCACACAGGCTAGTTACTGTGATCACTCTTGGCCTCTCTGCTTCAGGGACTGTGCCAGGGATAGCTAAAGCTGTGCTGATTTTCCTTTTTTACCAAACAAATTAGGAACTGTGTGAGATGTGTGTGTGTGTGTGTATGTGTGTGTGTACGCACAGGTACACAAACTTAACTTTACATAGTTACATACTTTTATTATATATATTCATAGGCACACCAGTAAATCATAAAAGTAAATCCAGTAATATATAAGTCTAAACAGTAACGATAAATCTTAATATTATAATTCACAATATTATAACTATAACTCCAACCAAGCAGGGTATCATCTTTTAGGGATGCTTCACTAGAGGCTGTCACCAATTTTGGTGACACTGTCATTTCGTACAAAATTTTTGCAGCTCCTTCTTGGGAGTCACCATAGGACTTTCCTTTGATCAGCCTCAACAGTGGCACATTTTCACTGCCTCAGGGGTTGATTTCATTTTGAGAAATAAATTCCCACAATTAGGAGAATGCTATTTGGGGTCAGAAACTATAAAGAGTCAAGGTGCTTATATGACATAATACACTTACTCTGAAGCTCACTCTGAAATATTCGTTCTGCGTGAGAGCAATGTCACTGTAATACTATCACAGTTCCTCAGAGTGGCTACTGAAAGCACAATCCCCCATAAAAGTTGGGTAGAGTACATTACTACTGAAACTATTCATTGATCCTCTCTAGAAGTATTGTACCTACACAATGACCCAGGTTTGGCTGTGTCACACGTGGGTTGCTCAGGCCAGTGCAATTCAAGCAGAGTCGACCTGGATTGCATTTGGGCAGAAGAACCAGGGCCTCATTTGTACTTTACCTTCTGCCACTTCGCCCAGCTGAAATCATTACTAGGAATCCATTCACTGACTCAGAGATTTCAGTACATGGTTTCAGGATGGCTGATTGGGGCTGGCATTTTTGATCTCTCATTTTCAAGGCTGATTATTTTCTACTTAAGTTTCATTTTGGCAAAACAAGGCATTATTTTGAGAAGTTTTCAGCAGACAGCTAGATGGGTCAAGAGCACAAAAAATTTAAGATCTCACTTTCCTGTTTTTACAACTGTACCAGGAGTAGTAGTCTCCATACTGTAGTGAGAAGGATATTTAAACACATAAAGTGGTTCATATCAATTCCTGTACATGAAACCTGCAATAAACTTCCCACTGTACTCTGTAGAAAACTAAAACCTCATAAAATAACCCATAGATTCTGCCTATGTTGGGTCTGCCCATCTTCAATTTCGTGTGTCGTATTGTTCTTCCTTTTCAGGGTCTCCTTGGAGCTCTGAAAGCTCTAAGTTCTTTTCTGTCTGGGAGCTTCACATATCCAATTTTCCAGAACTTTCTTCTCACCTCCTTAACATGCTGGCCTATTTTTCCTGTAGGTGTCAGCAGAAATGTCATCCTCATCTCAGGGCCTCACCAATCACCTCATCGTGACTTTCCTCTCCTCTCTCTGTGCACACTACTCTTTTCTTTCAGTACAATTAGAATGGTTAATTTGCTGTTTGATATTTCTCTTTCCCTTCCGGTGTTATGCTCTGTAAAATCAGGACCCTTATCTGCTTTGTTCACCACTGTATCATTACTAGAAAGCAATAATCTGAAATCACATCGCACTTATAAAAATGTAATGAATGAATACTTCATCTATGATATTAATGCCAACATTCTATTTCCTGAATTTAATCACTGAAAAATATCACACACAAACTGACTGAAATTCTATAAAACAAAGCGTCTACAATCTTCAAAACTGTCAAGGTCGGGAAAGTCAAGGATGTCTAAGGGATTGTGTCAGATGGGACAACTATGTACTGTTAATTGGGTCCTTTTGCTAATTTGCAACACTTCAGTGAGGGGCTAAGATTATAAGATAGTAATGTATCAGAATTAACTTCCTGATTGTGATCATATAAAAGAAAGTCCTTCCTTGTACAAAGTACATATAAATTATTTGAATGTGATCACTTACTCTAAATGGTTCTGGGAAAATGAAATTCTGTCCCCCTGTACTTCGAACTTTTCTGTAACTTTGAGGTTATCTACAGAATAAAAAATACTTCCCAAAAGATAGGGAATACAGCAATTAGAGACAAAGAACACAGATAACTTTTTCAAAGGTATACCATAAAGAGGAGCAAAAAATGAGACAGCTGCTGGAAGTGAAAATGGATGGGCCAAGAAAAAGTTTAAATTTTATTGAAGGTGGAGAGACGACCGTGTTTGTTTGTGTGCTGATGGCAATGACGAAGTAGAGAACTCAAATCTGAGGCTGCAGGCTGGGCAGGCTGGCTGTGGCATGGCAGTTAATAAACAGCGGAAGCAGTTTGCTTGCCTAGGGAGATAGCATCAGAAACACAGAGGAAGGAATTCACTTATGATTACAGCAATGACCTCCTTAGGTTGCCAACTGTTGAAATCCAACCTTACCCAACTGGTCCCAGTAAAGGAAGGCGGGACCACAAATATCCCCAATGAAAGCCATCAGACTATGAATTGAGGCTCTAAAAAAAAAAAAAAAAAAAAAAATAGAACCCTAGTCTAGGCAGATACTTGGACAGTTCTGTGAAGAATAAGTTGTTTGTAAGGACAAAAATCAGACTCCCCCAAATTTAAACAGAATGTAAAGGTATCAAGCCACTTTCATTACATCTTGAAATGGAGACGCATCTTGAAATTGTGTCACTAAATGCATGCAAGCCACCAGGCAAAGAAATAAGCACTGACCAGTTGTCACTGCCTGCACATGGGAAGGTGGTCTATGCATTAAGAATTTTGGCTATAAAAGAAATCACTCCTTTAGCTGGCTTGCCTGAGTTCATACTACCAGCTAGGGTTGACTTAAAAGGACTTCATAGATGACATTGGACAGGGACTTAAAATGGGAAATGTATACAGGAAGAACAACTGATCTGTTTTCTCCTGCTCTGTTGCACTAACTTTTCTCAACAGCAGATGTGTGAGTTTTCCCCCACCAGATTCTCTGATGTCACCTGGGCATCCTACAGTTTAACTCAGTTCTGATACATCTTCCCAAGGCAGCATCAGATCCCAAATGGCCCTGTCTCCCACTTTGTACACGAACTGCAAGCTGTGGGGCCCTAGGTTATCCCTAACTTCTATCCGACTTGACTACAGATCAGGAATTCCCGTGACTTCTTCAGGTTCTATAACTTGCTATAGTGGCCCAAAGGACCCAGGGACACAGATAACTTACTACTGTCAAGTTGTAACTAAGTATATTTTAAAGGATATGAATGAAGAGCAGGTAAAGATACATACTGGATGAAGGAGTTCCAAGAACAGGAGATTCTGTCTCTACAGATTTGGGGTGCACCACCCTCCTGACATGTGGATGGATGTGTTCACCAACCTGAAAGAGCCCTTAACACTGCACTTTTGAGGCTTTTGTGAAGAATTTATCTTGCGGGCATGAAAGATTATTAACTGCAATTCCATCCTCCTCTGAGGATGTGGGGTGGAACTGAAAACTCCAAGTCTCTAACCTTAAAAAACAAAAGATGCTTATATTACCTATGTCTATAACCACTCCCCACCCTGCCACCAGGTCTGGAAATTGAACCCAGGGCCTTGAGCATGCTAAGTAAGCACTTTAGCATTGACCTACCTCTCCAGCAATTTTATTTATTTATTTACTTATGACAGGGGCTTGCAAAACTTCCCAGACTAACCTTGAACTTGTGATCCTCTTGCTCCAGCCCTCTTGAGTAGCTGGGATTAGAGTCATGTGCCACCATGTTCTCTCTCTGTCTTACACAGGAAGTTATTATGAACATTAAAGAATACCTGGCAATATATGTAAAGGCAAAATAATCTGCCAATCATCCAGGAGGGCATCAAGAATTTTCAAACTAGGGTAAGTTAGCCTAACATTTGACTAGAAACATCTTTAACCCAGGTCAGAAGCTGGTGACTGCTCCCACGGCTTTATTTTTCCATCAAATCATTGATTTTCAATTCAGACAAGGAACACTAACGTGTCAGTGTGAGGCAATAGTAAATACAGAATATACCCTAGGCCCTTTGCAATTTCTTGGTGTTATATAGCAAATATGCAAGGTGGGACAGATTTTTGAGTTAGGGATGCTCAGCTTGTACTCTCTATAGTTGTTAGATGCAATGCATAAGGCTATGTCCTTGGTACTTAACAAAAATCTACCAAATTGTTAAAATGATGCTCAGTTATTAATGTACACCAGAATTTAGTTGTAAAATATTTGCTTCATTTCCAGCGTATTAAATGAATGAGGACTGGTGCTCTTTGAACACGTCCCTTTCCTTTTTAAGTCCTTTGGTATATTTTACTGATTTTATCATCCTCAGAAAGAGTGTCAGTTGGTGCATAAAGAGAATTACTTCCCATTCTTCCCAATTAAATTGAACACGAGCATTTTAGGGAAAGGATGTTAAAACTTTCAAGGCACATGCTGGAAAAATATGTACTAAGTCCCCAATCAAGGATGTATACCCTCTTTGTAGTACCAAGTGTGAT